TTTTTTTTTTATGTGCCAAAAACTAGAAAATGCAAACAAATGTTTCCTGACAGTCTGTAAGATAAGGTCAATTTTTTTAATCCACGCTTCATTCTTCATCATTCATCCCATGCAAAGTGTATTGATGGCTGCAAACATGTTTTCAAAGTTGTAATTTGTGTTTTAGTTGTGCTTTTTGGCTGTAAATAAAACATACATGGTCACTTAATATAATTGTCTTTCAGCACTGAATGGAAAGAATAGTGCAACATAAGACCTGCTGTTTGAGCCTCTCTGTGTGCATTGTAAACCTATTTGAAACAATCTAAACCTAGTTTGTTTATCTCTTTAAAATATTTTTTATTTTAAAACTAAAGTTACTAGTAGTGATTTGAGCCAGGTATGGCAGCAGATCTGGACAACAACTGCAGCCTCGTTGACCTTATGGCAGTTTTGCGGTGTACATGTGTTCGTGCCTGCTTCTGGTTCATATCCAACTGTTTCAGGTGCTCTGCAGTCATTCATCATCATTAATTAATTTAATTGTCATTAATAATTAATTTGAAATTATACCTAAATATGACTGTTCTTGGTGTTGGTGATTTTGATATTGGTGTGTGTTCTGATTCACCAGTGGCAAAGGCCTTTTTAAACCTCGACTTGTTTCACCTTGTGCAGTTTGTGTGGCTGGTCCCACTCAGGAACACGGACACACTTAATCTGGTTTTATCTTTTAGTCTGACCGTTTTTAACTTAAAGAATTTGTGTTGCAGTATTTTCAGATCATAGTTTTATTTGCCGTTACCCTCACTTGTACCACAGTTAAATCTTGCACCGCTCCTCGATTCTGCCATGTTTTTAACTTGTTGGTCAGTTTTCAGATGTTTTTAATCAGAACGGTCATCCCAGAGTCAGTGTGTAACATCACTGAAGAGCTGAGCTCCTAGTTTCACTCCACCTGCAGAACTGATTTGGTCTCTGTCTCCATTAAGAACCAGGCAGCCTAAAACCATATCTGAGCTGTGGTTAAATGATGGAACTCGTGCTATTCGTTTGAGTGCTGTAGAGCTGAGCACTGGTGGAAACAGGACAAACTGAAGGTGCCTTTCCCAATATTGAAGGACCATCAATATCAAAAAGCTGTGAAAGATGCCAAAAGTGAACACTTCACTGATATTATTCTGTCAAACCATCACAATCCTCGTGTTTTATTTAAAACCATTAATGCTGTTCTTACTCCAGACTGTTGAGCCCTCTCCTGTTGCCTGTGAGAAGTTTCTTCAGTTTTTTTATTGATGTCACTTCCGCCAGGGCTCAAATATCTTCTTATGATATCATATGATATGACCCCTCGGTCCTTGTCCCCTGCTCTGCTGTCTGAAGCATTTCAGCCCATCACTTTGTCCTTGTTGCAGGAAATTGCCGAGGGTTTAAAACTTACAGGTTTTCCAGCTGCCCCTCAATTATTTAAAGAGGTTTTTCTGTCTGTCCTTTTGCTCTTGAGCTGGTTAACAGCATTTTCCATATTAAACATCCAGTTGTCCAGTCTTTGGTTAAGAAACCATCTATAGATCCCACAGTTGTTGCCAACTACTATAGGCCAATCTCTAAACTACCTTTTTCTTTCTAAGATCACTAAGGAAGTAGTTTATAACCAATTGATGGCCTTGAAAAAGCAATATGTTTTAGATGTTTTATAATCTGGTTTTAAATCAAAACTGCACAGAAGCTAGCCTTTTAAAAGATTTTAATGACATAATTTTAGCCACTGATTCTGGAGAGATGCTGTTCTCGTGCTTTGAGACTTAACTGCTTCTTTTGTTACTGTGGACCATCAGATTTTACTTTTTTGTTTGGAGCATTGGGTGGGAATTGGAGGCACAGCACTGGAGTGGTTCTGATCACACAAGTGAGCAAACTTTCTGTGTCACCTGTGGCAAACATGTCATCCTCTGTTACTCGTGGTGTCCCACAGGGTTCCGTTTTAAGGTCCCTTTTGTTTTTATTTACCTCTGCTTGGATCCATTTTTCCAAAGCACAGAATTTCTTTACACTTGTATGCAGATGTTTTTATGTCCCCTTTAAGAAAAGGGCTCTTTTTCCTCTGAACCACTACTGAAATGTCTCAAGAACTTTCATGATCTGTTGCTTTTGAATGAGAAGAAGACTGAGGTTATGTTTTATGGAACATCCACTGAAACCCCATATGTAGATCTGCGTTCTTTGGCTCAAACCAGTGATTACAAACCTGGGGGTCAAAGTGACATGTTCTTAAATTTGATCATCAAATCTGGGCTGTTGTTAAATCAGACTCTTCAGTTAAGGTGGTTGGCTAAAGGCAAACCAAGTCTTATCAGAAAGATCTTTGAGATCCACTTCAGCACTCGGCTGGATTACTGTAACACACTCTGAAATTGGGGGGGGGGGGGGGGGGGGG